AGTTCATGACTATAGGTGAGAGTCGGAACGTAGATTGACCAGTAAATCGAGAGCTTCACCTTACAGCTCAGCTCCTTCTTCACCACGACGGACCGGTACATCGACCGCATTACTGCAGAAGTTGCACCGATCCGCCTGTCAATCTCCCGTTACATCCTTCCCTCACTCGTGAACAAGACCCCAAGATACTTGAACTCCTCCACTTGAGGCAGGAACTCCCCACCAACCTGAAGGGAACAGGTTGGTGGAGAGTTCCTGCCTGACATTAGCCAACTGTCACTATTCATCAATTTGTGAAGGATTATAATGCTATCTCCAAACAATCTGAAAATCGGCATTCTAGGAGGGTTTCATAGAGAGCTGGCTAGGAAAAAGCCCCTTTTCTTCAAAAAAGATAAGGCAGCAGGACGTAGGTTTGCAAAATTGCATCTGAACTGCAAATGTTCTTGAGCAATATCCTTGGTTTTGGACTGATGAAACAAAAATGGAGATATTTGGTTGTCATGCTGTGCATAAATGAGTGCCCTCAAACATCAATTGTGCAGAGAAGAACGGGCCAACATTCCTCCAAAACCATGTGAGATACTGATAAACTCCTATCTGTACTTCAAGGTACTGTATTGTTGCTAAGGATGGTTCTACGTGTTACTGAATTATGGGACGTACTTTTATTTTCCCACCTGGTTTCTGAATATTGGTTTACATCTGGGAAATAGTGATTACAGATTAAAATCAGTTGGGTTTTTTTGTCATCTGAGGTTATGATGCCTCAGTGACAGTGAAAGCCATGGCCAGAGGGATCATGTTTTTGGGTTGTCTGTCTGTCCAGCTGTCCCATTCTCATGAATGTGATATCTCAGGAATGACTTGAGGGAATTTCTTCAAATTTGGCAAATGTTCACTTGAACTTCAGGAAGAAGTGATTAGATTTTGGTGGTCAAAGGTCAAGGTGGCAGAGGCATACAGCCATGAGGTTTCCAGGTTTTTTGTTTTGTTTGTTTGTTTTTATGAAGACCACACAATGGATTTTAGCTCCTGATAAATAAAAAAAAACTAAAATTGAGGTGTAGTTTGTTTTTACCATGACTGTATAGTGGCCTTCTTTCTTTTCATTGCCTCAAGAATCATTTCGAATTAATTCTGAATCAAATCCTGACAACAATAATTTAATCTACTCATATTGTGAGTAGATTCAAAATTCCCTCCCTTTACAAGCCTTGCTTTCAAAGTAAGGCACAGGAGAAAACTGGTTACCTCTGTTCGAAAACAATTAAAAAAAAAAAAAAAAACAGTGCTGTGCTGGTTGACATGTTTCTCATTATGAAACTCCAGACCCACATATTTGCTAAAAATGTTGCCCCAAAAACTCCAAACAACTATAACGTTATACTATTAATATAGAAAATGACCGGCCGTGTCCTTTAAACCGCATCTGGGTTTTATGTGGATATGAGAGACTTGAAACAATGAGTGTAACTGAGGCCTATGTTAAGAGGTCTGAAGTAGCCCATTCCCCTGTGTGTTCATTTTATCTTTGGATATTAACACTTTATAAACACAGCTGTATTGAGCCAGTGCATTGAGTCAGCCTTGCTGTGTTGTATCTGCAACCAAGAAGCTATTGGTGTTTTTTGTGGCAATTACCAAACTGCCTCCGGTGTGTTAGGACTCTGATGTTTATCTGGCACTGTAAAACAAAACTGAAGCAGGGACATATCAAAGAGATACGCAGTTGTCAACTTATTAGGTACCACAAGCTAAAATTAAGTCAATCTAATTCAACAGTCCTGCAATAAATCCTCCTGAAGGTGATGTTCAATGTGTTCAAGCTGTTTTAGAGAGCCGTTTGTTATTTAGCCTCGCCTCACTGATACTGTACATTAAACAGGATGAACAAAATAACAGAACACCTCTATGTGTAATGCAGCACAGTTCAACAGCATCACAAACTACATCTTCTGAAATGATAATACAGTTAAATCAACACCGCTCTGAAACAAATAGCTGAACATTATCACCATCATGAAGGAGGACTTTTTTTACAGTACTGTGAGCTTAAAATTATTTAGTTTTGGTTTGGTGTACCTAAGCTAAACTGCCAGATATAACGCCTATAATGGGGCCTTTAACCATTAACCGCATGGTCATGCAGGTAATTAAAGAAAAGCTATGAGCACAATTTGTAGTCTATGTTCAGGTTTCAGTACTTTCAGCAGACTTTACAAGTTCCAATGGTTTGGACTTTTGTCCCACCTCTATGTTCCTGCTCTCAGTTTCGTCCAGCAGAGAGCAACCTCATTATATTCAGTTTTCTTACATTAACACTATGTTGAAGCTACAGTACATTTGCTGACTTAAATCATTGCTAGTGCAAACTAAACACTTCTGCTTCAGTAAAAAATTTTTCTCCCAGTAGATAATCAAAGCTTCAAACTTTTGTTTCCATTGTCTATACCGCTTAACCTAACGAGGATCACAGGGGGTGTTGGAGCCAATCCCAGCTGACATCAGGTGGTAGTAAAGGAGGCATGGCACCACAAGAAACAGCCACAAAGAGCTGAGAGATGAAGAGCTGCAGACAACATGTCAAAAAGTGGAATATGTCACCTCAGTCCATTTTGGACCACTCGGTTCCTGCAGGTCCTCCAGCAGGAGCAGGCGTGGTTACACTCAAACAGCACCAGGGGCTCACGTTGACAGAAGTCCAGTGGTAGTCGACCTTCCTGTACACACACAATGAGACATTTTACATACTGCTACCAGGGATGAAAACAGGTTTTATATTGAGACATGTTGTTTCAGAGAGCCTGATGTTTAATTCTTTATTATTTGCTGTATTTTTGACTTTTACTAAAAAAAAGAATTAGAAATAAAGTAAACCTAATCCCTCTATTGTGGAGGAAAGCAAATGGAAATTCTGAAATGGTAAATATGCTAAAATTAGACAAACAACAATAGGGATTTGTTAGCAATGTCAAATTCAACTAACATTTGTTACTCCAATAAAAACCAAACTTAAATACCTGGCATGTGAAGTGGAAGTGACACAATATGATCAAATAGATATTGCACTGTAATATTGTAATATGTAAAGAATGCTGAGCATGAATGAAACCAAAGTTTCATTTAATTTGCATTCCGTGGATGCATGTCAACTTACACTGTCATACCAGCATTGCAGACTGAGCTGGCCACACATGCAGGTACTGGATGAGCAGTCATCTGTACAGCTACAGTGCTGAAGAACACAATCAGTGAGCTATTATGACATCCTGCAGTCATTTTAATCTTCATTTCACAATAGCTTCAGTGGAAAACAGAAACAACAAGCATGTTTGAAACAGTCTCCTCAGTATTCTAGAGTATTCTTTTACTTTGGACAGATGAGAACAAAGAAAAACTGATATTGGCTACTTAGTAAGTGGCAGTTCATTCTGCTTTTGGGCTCGTGTTTGATTAAGTCCCCAAACTTACTTTTCAAAAAAAGTCACTATGGCACTCTTAGTAGGTGAGACCTGGTAATCTCACTGTAACATTTCCCAGATGACACAAATCCAAAGTGAATGCGTTGGTGTAAGATAAAGGCTGCAGCAGCACCAGGTTAAAGGATAAAAGCAGTGGTATTCAATATATTCTCTAAAGCACAAAAAGCAGTATTCCCACACTGATATCAGTGAGGTGTTACCTTTCATTTAGTTCAAACTGTCACACTTCATATTTTCACTGCAGATTCTATGATAAGACCAAACCCACCCTAGTCTTAGTTTGTCTCTTAGTACTTTTGTACCCTATGCACAGCACTCCAACCCGCTGGTTCCTACTGAAGGTGCAAATATTTCAAATTTGTTACAAGTAAATAGCTTTTTAAAGCCTCAGTAATTTCCTAAAGCAGCAGGTCACTGTAGTTTTTAATCAGTTACTCAACAGGAAATAGTGCAGGTGCTGGGACTATTTTCAGCAGTGGATTAATACACTTTTTGTGCATATTTGTGGTAGTAGTGTTACAGTGGGTCAAAATCAACTACACCGTGTGTTCAGTGGTAATGGAGGAACATGTCAGCCGCCACTGTAGCAGTGTGGCTCACTGTTAATAGTTTTGGAGGTCTGTGGCAAAGAGGAATATGTTTTTAGATACACACATAATACTCGTTAGTAGGGTGTACTCATCGTTGATTGCTGACCATAGGAAAAACACAAAATACCACCAGACCTATTCTTTTAATATACACAGTAAGATATTAAATGTGTGTCTTGTTCTGCCTGCTTTACAGCACTGTTAACAGAAAGCTGAAGTCTGACCTGTAAGCGAGTGATGTCCTTGTCTATATTCAGTGGGGAGGTGACACAGTTGTCTGGTATGTATTTAAAGTTTTCGGGGCAGGACTCGTTGTCGACACCATTAACACAGGTGATAGGAACTGCCTCATACCCCCGAGAAATGTCCCTAGAAGAAGGAAAAATAATGTTTATAGAAGCTGGTCCAACTGTGTTTAGAAAAAGAAGAATATCTATATTCTATCTATCTGATCTATCTACATTATATTCAGAGGTGTTCCTAATATTCTGACCCTCTCATGTATGTAGTTGGGGAGGGCAAAAATATAGAAACACCTCTGAATATAATGTAGTCCAGTACAACACCACATTTAACTATGGCCTCAATAATAAACATACAATTGAATTTATACATTTATGACAATGTCACTGAAAACTGAAACATCTTCAGCTTCATAAACACAGATGTTTTGCATACAATTGTACAGGTGTACCTAATAAAGTGGCCAGTGAGTGTATATACTGTATCTATCTCAAGAGACTATCACAAAAAAGTAATAAAAACATGAGGTGGAAATCTGACAAGACTTCATTGAGTGGACCCAGGCAAAGCGGTGAAAATGTCTTATTTCTGCAAGTTTGTGTTCTGTTTGTTCAACAGCTGTTTGATAAACTGCTCATACAGTCTGTTGCTTGCTGATTGTTGCACTATGGAGTGATCCTTCATGTCGTCTGCTCAGCTGTGTGAATATGGGACGAGCCCTTTCCTCCTCTAAACAGAGACAAAGCAAAAAATACGGTGACTCTCCCCAGCCTGTCGCTGAATAGAGTAGCTCTTTCCCCAGCTGTGGGCTGTCACCTTGCTGGGTTCCTTCAGCCCCCATCTCACACAGTGCAGTGTACTGAGTGACAGCATTCAGTTTCCATTGACAGTGAATGGGCAGCTGTCACTAACACAGAGCTTTGTCCGATATGTGCTTGGGGTGCTCAGCAGAGCAGCCGTGCACTTTGGCCACAAGGGGGTTCACATAAAGTCAGCAGCCTTTGCAATACTCAAAATGGTGAATAATCATTTTAAAAATTCATGTATCCAAATTATAACCGGGGTCAGCACCAAAATCTAATCAACTGTACCGTGGGCCATACCCTACCGCTCCAAAAAATGTTGTCAAAATCCAGCCTTGGCAGAGGTAACAATCACCTCTAAATAAAAAGGGCAGAGGTGTATGTAGTTCAGAGCCTGTCATAACAGCTGAGTGGGAACAGTGCAACAGAAAATCAATATCACTCTTACCTCTGTGCAGGAGGTCACACTAAACTTTCTCATTGTTTCATAAAAATTCTGTCATAATTAATTATTACCGGTCAATTTTATTTTCATTGTTTAACGAAAAGACATTTAATAGCATTCAACTGTCATTTCATTTTTAATAAATATATGGATCAATCTTATGTGCAGCCACTTTTCATATCATCACATGAAACAGATTACTTTTTTTCAGCAGTGGGAAAGGCCCACTAAAAATGTTCCAGCCACTATAGATTGGCAGGGATTTGCTCCCACAAGCAAATATGAACATTGCAATTTTACACAATTTTACAATTACCATTAAAATATTAACAAGTCATTTACAAGAAGGCAGGCTAACTGAATTGCACTCCGCTGGCCTGCTGTAGCCTGCTGCAGAGGCGACTGGCACTAGGTTTCTCATGGCCGTTATAATTTTGATCTGAAAGCTGAACCCGTGCTCTGCTGCCTCACTGGAGACTGAACTTGCCAGCTCCACTTCAGCCACAGTTTTCAACATTTCTCATCGGAAGTGATTAGAAATTGCTGTGAACATGGGATTTCTCAATCGTGAAGCATTCACTTCACCAGAAGAAATCCGCTGCATGCGCTCGTTCTGCACCAGAGGAGCAGCTGTGCCCCTCTCTGACATGTAGTGGTCACAGACGCGCTCCACTCTGTGACTGCTCAACGCACTGTCACCTCCCAGGTATTTTTCTAGAACCCAGCCAACCTACACTAAATACCTGCTGAGCACTCTTTCTCCATGACAGTCCCTGCCTCTCCTGGCATCAGTCAGCTTCTTGTTGGTGTTGAGAGCCAGCCACACCTTGGAGCCGTGGACGCAGCAGTCCAGAGCTGTCTCTCCGTCCCTGTTCCTCTGAGTGACATCAGCTCCACGAGACAGAAGCAACCTGTGGATAGAAGATGTTTAAGTTAGGGGTCTGAATAGGACTAGGTTCAGAAAGTTTACAACAAGAAAAGCTTACAATAGTAAGCTCAAAAATATGATAAACTGACATATCAAAGGGTTGACCAATATGGATAATATGCAGTCTGTCACCCCCTGCCAGTCTGTTAACCATAGCAAGCTTGTTAAGCAAACGGCTAACTGCCATGAAGAAGCTAAAATGAAAGATGACTGTAGCCTTACTGCTAAAGCAGAGGGAGAGAGATGGATGTGGCTGTGTCCTGGTGAGCCCAGCAGACTGAGTCTTTAGGTTATGACAGGCAATATTGCTAACCTTAAGCAGCAAAGTTGTATTTATATGATCAATGACCAATCACAATCAGGTATATGAACCAATTAGTTTTTCAGTTGACTCAAGTTCAAGAAAACCCTGTTAAAAGACAAGTTTGTTTTTAGGTTCAGTAAATCCACAGTCGATGAGTAATCGTGTTAAATAACCGTGATCTCAATATTTACCAATATTGACTGATTTTTTTTCCATAATCGTGCAGGTCTAGCCCAAATTATAAAAAATGCCCCAGACACAAGTGGTTGTGGATGTCTGTACACGTGTGGCCATGTACTTTACCTCAAGCCAGTATTTGATAGATTTACATATTACATCAAGTGTAAACCTCATCTTTGAATTTTAAACATTTGATTCTTGACTGTAGGATATTAAAACATTATGGTAAAATATTATAGTAAAACCCAAGATGGAGAATAAATGGTGAATATTTGCCATTTAAATATAATCAAAATAAAAGCGATCAACCCTGGTAGACCCCCCCTACCAGAGTCAGAAGGGCTCTTGGCTTGTTAGGATTCACAAATGAATGAATGTGTAGCATAGTGAAAAGGCACCAAGTGTGAAGTTGAAGTAAATCATTATTCTTCATACACGTTACACAGCTTTGCTGCAATTAACATGTAGCATCATACTACAGGACTATTCATCTTCATGTATTTAATTGAATGTGACCATTCTCATGAATTAAGAATATAGAAAGGCAAGCAACAGTACTATATATGGCACATTTAATTTTACTGTAAGCTAGTATACTTGTTGCTCATTAGATAGGCATCTGTTTTTACCCACAAAGACAAAATAAAACCAATCATTTTAGTCAAATATACAGTAGGTTCAGTACACTTATGCATGTGTTTTTGTGCCTAGAAGCAGAGTCTTTCTGCCCCAAGCATGAACTTTGTTTCCAGACCACACACTTACATCACACACTCCAGGTGGTTCTCTCTGGCGGCAACGTGAAGTGGTGAGTCACCATGAACATTGATAGCGTTGAGGTCACATCGGGCCTCCAGCAGAGACTGGGCAATGTCATCACAGCCCGACAGAGCTGCCCAGTGCAGGCAGACATTCTGCTCCTGAACAAGGAGCAGATCAGAGGTCAGCACCAACAGAGACAGAGAGAGGCAGGGGTTCCATCGGGAACAGATTAACAGCCCAGGTTCCTCTGTAAAATGACCCATCAGCTTGAATTATGGACTCTGTTTGACTAGACATAGGAACCATTTCAGTCATTCCCAATAGTTCAAGTGACAGAGGCGATGGATAATATCAGTACTAACCAAGAAGAGATGATTTCTGTCTCTCCTCTACGCAGATGTTATGTCCTCAATTAAACCTGTTTACATTAATGTTTATTTATACGTACAGACAGAAAGTAGTTAGTCTGCTGCATACTTGTCTGAAAATGCTGGATCAAGATCATGTTGTTTAGTAAACTGTGATAGTAAATAATAGAAGACGACCTGTTCTGTTCCATTTGGAGTAACCTTCATTCACAAAAATGTCACTGTACAAAGAAACGCTGCAAATTCAGATGTTGGAAATCAACAGACTATTCACATATAATACTGTCAGTGTTCATGTTAGAGGAGCTAAAAAGGAATGTTGACAGAACAGTACTGTACTGTGGCAGAAACAAAGGGGAAATCATTTGATGTGACGTTAGCTGCTTTAGCCATCTTGCTAAAGCAAAGCAGTCTGTGACTTAGATGGGATGAGATAATCTGGGAGATGTATGGTAGAATATTAGGCAATATGTTACACAGTCCATGGTACTGAACAGTGACCTAACATTAGGAATCTAAAGCAGCTGGCAGTGAGAGAAATATTCTAATGACTACTAAACTGTTAAAGTTGTTGTGCCACATTTACAGTACACCAGTAAATTCATGAAATCGAAATAAGTCTGTCACAAATGTAAAAATTCAATTATATATTCATTATTGAGGTCACAGTTAAAGGTAGTGTTGTACTGGACTACATTATATTCAGAGGTGTCTGTGTATTTGTGTCCACCCCAGCTACATACAAACATAAACTTCAAATGTATTCAGAATACGTCATTATGATTGTTTTCAAGGTCAAGGTCAAAGTGTTTATTGTCATATGCACAGTTAGGAAATGTGTTTCCCTGTACAATGAAATTCTTGCTTTGCCGTCCACATGAATGCTACGCAATACAATACAATACAATACAAGTGAAATATAAAGTAGATGAGCAATAACACAAATCTAAATAGGCAGTAACACAAATCCAAGGCACTGTTTTGCCACTGTGAAGTGACATCTGACATGACAAACCCGAAGCACTCATCCAGTTTTGTGTGCACCTAAGAGACAATTTTAGACAAGTGCTAAAAAAATTTGATAAATGCCACAAAGTCAATCCTCACTTGCACAAGCCAATTTAGAAAAACATCTGTTTATATGAATTATCTTTGAATGTGGCCAAAAGCTTAATTTGATCACTCAAAAAATCTTTATCTATCTTTATCATCAAATATTTAGAGCACCCAAAAGCATATGCCTGCTTTTTAGATTTTAGCTCAGCTCTAACACTCTTCTTCCTTATTTATTCCTGAAGAAACTGAAAGCGGCTTAGTCATTTTATGATTAAATGGTACTTTTCTTTAAGCTGATGAGGTGCAATATGTAAACATAAATAACAGATGACCTAACAGCACAGCTGTCCACAGGGATGTGTGAGCACTTTCACATTCTATACAAATTAATGTGTTAGTCCACTAACTCTAATAATTGCATTCTAAAATTCTCTGGTGATACAGCCATACTTAGCTTATTGCAGAGAGACAGAGATTTATCACCCTAACACTCTACAAGTGAGCAATTTGTGCTCTTACTCATAGTAAATGTGCAGAAACATGAGGTGATGATAGCTGATTCCAAGTTAATAGGTGATCACAGCCCAGCAATTAGTGACAGCACTCCCATCTATCAGGTCTGCTCTTAGAAATACATGGTGTGTGTACAGTATAACTCTCTTATCTGGCATTTATGTTGAATGCTTGTGTTCAGCAGACACTAGATTTTTAAGAAGGCTTATACTTTATGGTATAAATGAGTCTCATGTTCTTATTCCACCAGGTGATTATAGAGAGCTTAATAAGGAATTCTAGTGTGATATGGTAACCTGTCAGTTCATTTTAAACCTAAGCTCATTTGTCCTGAACAGACATGGCTCATCAAGGTTGCAAGGAGGAAAGAACACCATTCTCTCCAGTCTTCATACAACCTGTATGAATGTCAAGGAGCAGGGACAAAACGTGGTCAAACCCTGCAACCCTTCAGCACAGCACAATGTCCAGGTTCCACACATCATGCTGATTTGTGCACATCTACCATAAATGACAGAAATGACCTCTGGGAAAAAGCTATCTGATCTGTACTTTGAGTTTTTAGTTTGGCTCATGTCCCATCCAGGGACACGGAGGAGGTAGGATTTATGACCTATACTGCAACCAGCCACTGGGGGGAGAAAGACTCACGGTGGCTTCACTTCTGGGAGCTGTCAGCCTGTCCACTGGTTATATGGTCAACAGGTTTAACAATTCCTTACTGTGGTTTCTATTACTATCAGTGTCAGGCTGTCTGGTAATTGGTTTTAAATCACAATTAAAATGACCAAACTAGATTGTCAATATTAAGCTAAATGTTTTGCTGCGTAGTTCATACTGTCTTTGGTTAGCCAAGCAGTTGTTCCCATGTGTTTCAAGGCCGCCACAATAATTCAAATTCCAAAGAAGCCCCACCAAACCAGTTACAATGACAATCGGCCTGTAGCACTGACTTCAATTATTATGAAGTGCTTCGAGCAGCTGGTCATGCAGAACATCAAGTCCAACCTTCCTCCCTCCCACGACCCATTCCATTTTGCATACAGGTCAAACAGGTCCACAGAGGATGCCATTACTGCTGTTCTCCATCCAGCCCTCCCCCACCTAGATTCAAACAGCTCTTACGTGCGAATGCTATTCCTAGACTTCAGTTCAACACTCAACACAATCATTCCCCAGCAGCTTACACAACAACTTGGACACTTGGGACTCAAAACCTTTCTAACAGGGAGGCCACAAAATGTGCAGGTCGGCAGCAACATCTCCAAGACCATCACGCTCTGCACAGGGGCTCCACAGGGGTGCGTGCTCAGCCCATTGCTCTTCACATTGCTGACCCATGACTGTGTGCCAACCTACAGCACCAACCACATTGTCAAGTTTGTGGATGACACGACTATAGTTGGCCTCATGACCAACAATGGCCAACTACAGGAGTGAGGTGTGCCAACTGGTCCAGTGGTGTAACGACAACAACCTCTTCCTCAATGTGGGGAAGACTAAAGAGATTGTTGTGGACTTCTGGAGAAAACCTCTAAAGCATCCACCACTGACCATCAACAGTGCTGTAGTGGAGGGAGTGAGCAGCATCAAGTTCCTGGGGGTGCACATCTCTGAGGACCTCTACTGGACCAACAACACCACATCACTGGCCAAGAAGGCTCCAACATGCCTCCACTTCCTCCGCAGACTGCTGAAGGACCCTGCAACACATAGTGAAAACAGCCAGCAAGATCATCAGTGCCCCTCTGCCTTCCCTTACGGATGTCTTCAACACCCGCCTCACCCTTAGAGCCATCAGCATTGCTGATGACACCTCCCACCCCTCACACTCCCACTTCATACCCCTGCCTTCAGGGAGAAGGTATTGGAGTCTTCAGCCCACTCCACCAGACTTACAAACGGCTTCATTCACCGGGCTGTGAGGATGCTGAACACTGTCCATTATGGTTTGAGTCATAGCCTATTAGTTCGTACCGTTCAGCTTTATCCTAATCAATAAATTTATCTTATTCTTTTTAGTCTATTTTTACTCTACTTTATTCTATTTTAGTTTCCTAAATGGTATATCATTCAATACTAGGGAGAGAGAAACAATACTTTGATTTTTCTATATGTCCTGCACATATAGTGAATTGACAATAAAAACCTTTGATCTTGATCTAGTAAAGTGGCTAGATGAAAGCCTCTTTAAGTAAAAGGCATATGACAGGACTGAGAGCATGAGGAAAATGTTTCTCTGGGCTGATGAGACGAAAACTGAACTTTATGGGCAGAACTCCAAGTACCATGTGTGGCGCGCATTATGCACTGCTCATCACCTGGCTAATACCATCCCTTACAGCAGCTGCCCTTGAGTCTCTTGTCAGATGCAATCTGATGGAGCTTGAGATGATCTGCCAGGAGGAATGGGATAAACTACCCAAATCCAGGTGTGCACAGCCTGTAGATACTTTTGTTAATTACATGTTTGAGATTTAGTTTTATAATCAATTGGCAAAAAAATGTAAAAACATGTTTTCAGTTTTTCATTATGGGTTACTGAGATTTACGTGGCAATCACTGTTATGGTTTTGGTTCATTTCCTGTTTCATGCTTTTATTTTGTAGCCATTTCTTGTCTTTTGCTATTTCACCAGCCCCAGCTTTATTCACCTCACCTCGCTCAGTTCTTTGCTGTCACCACCTCCTGCTTTGCCTTTGCCCTTCGCCATTGATTTCCCTCTTACTTATCCTCGTCAGTTTCTGTTTTTGTCCGTCGTATGAACATGGACCCTGTCATTTGTGTTTTTGAGTTACTTTTGTACTATACCTAGTCTGCCGTGTTTATGTGACCTTGTTTTAGTTTTCCATTTTATTTAGCGTTCACTATTACCTGTTTTCCACCTCATCTTTATCATTAAACCGTGCTCACTACGCTCCAGTCTGTGTCCGCATTTAGGTCCTCTTCTGGTAAAATGTAACAATTTTATCCATTTAAAATAAAATATACAATACATTCAAGTGTGTAAAAGGTGATTAAATTAACAAATGGTGTGATATCCCTCATCTCTAAGATGGAAATGCCTCTAACTTTTATTATCAAAAAGTTAAGTCTGCTTCTTCCCTCTATACAAGGGAGACAGCGCCCACCACTGGCCTTCTGGATCTACAGTGTAATGCAATTTAATTTCACTCTGTTTAGTGGTCAAAATATTATACATCCCATGAGATCACAGTTGTCAGTGTTGGCCTCGATGTATCGAAATGCTGAATGAAGTGTGAGAACAGAGTGTTATGGTGCGTGAAGTTGTGTGTGTGTAGTACTGTGTTGTGTGTACTGGCCTTGTCTCTGATGTTAACGTCAGCACCTCTGGCCAGCAGCAGCTGGACCAGCTCCTTGTGTTTATATTCGATGGCCCAGGTGATAGGAGTCCAACCCCCGTCATCCTGCAAAAACATGTGGGAAAACTCATGCAAAGATGACACTAACATATGAATTTTTATTTACACAACATCAGATCTTAGCAACCACTAGTAAATGAGGCAGCGCATGCTGTTACCTGACAATTGATGTGTTTGGATGCCTTGGAGAGCAGATGATGGACTATCTCATAATGTCCCAGTTTAGCTGCCAGATGCAGACAGGTGAAACCCATGATATCCTGGGATGACAACATGATTCACACTGAACAAAACTGCACTGCTCCCACTACTGTTAAAGTCCCATTTCACTGGCTTCTGGACTCCATGAGTTAGAACTTGTGGATGAAACAGGACATTGGAACAAACATCATGGACAGAAATGTATGTAAGAGTTTGGAACTGCCTTGTACTTAATCCTCTCCCACCCTGTAGAACCTGGTTTTGGTTTAGAGATAAAAGATAACATCTTCTGCCTTTTCACAAGTTAGTTAATGAGACCCGCCTTCTCTTCAGAGCAATCACATACTTATGGTTTGCTTCTTGCACTGATTAAATTATATCTAAAACTGCACAAATAAATTTAGTTATATAAACAAAGGCTCAGATTATTGTATATTAATGATGTTGCTCCTAGTGACAAGCCCAGCTCTACAGTTCCCCTCAACTTTTACGTCAATCTCAAGCAACATTGGTCATAATATGCACTGGTGGGAGGCCATAATGACACCATACGCTGTCCTTCTCTTCATTCTTTTCCATTCCGTTCATAATCCATCCTTCCATTCATAATCTGCTTCAACATTCGCCTGCTTCCATTACACAATACCTTAAAAATGAATGTGTACAGACTTACATCCATGACCTCCATACTACTGACTTCCTCGTTTACAGCCTGAACTGCGTGCTACGTGTGATGTTTTGCTGGTCTTCTGCGCATGTGGGTCACATCAGAGCTATGATCAGCTCACACTGGAGTCTGATTGTGGCCACTTTATGAAAGAAAATGTGAACAGCTACAGATATAGAAAAAAATCGAAACTGAGCGCTAAGACTTGCCGTGTGAACATAGTGTAAAATGAGAGGCAGTCTAGGTCTCTGCCATACTAGGCGAGAGATGGCACCACCCAAAAACTTTGCAAAGTTGCTGAAGAGAAGTGGAGTAACAACCATATCAGTTCTATGGAAAGAAAATGTCTCTCACTATAATGTGTGCCTATTTTTCTAGTGTGCTGGAGACCAAACAGTGTGACTGAAAACGATCAGTGTCCAGTTAATTATGTTCAGTTTATTTCACTTATGAGCCACTTAAAATATTTGCATTTAAATGTGTTACATTTTAAACTTTTGCTTATCTTAATTGTTTCTCATTAACGCCACTACACGTTGCTGTGCTGTCACTGAACCGACTGAATTGTCAGATACCCTAATTTAAAAAATTGGTCCAAAATCTGTCAATGTCACCTGGTTTGTTCTCTCAGTACATCACCAACTGAACTGTGGTAGTAAGTTTTTCAGGTACCAAAAATAATATGAATATGACTTCACAAAGTGCAGTACAACAGGACTAAGCAGTGGCAGCTGTTGAGTGAAACTGGACAGAATGAAGATGAAGAAGCACACATCAGGCTAAGAGAACAAGTCGACAGGGACTGCGATGATCCAGCAGAATGACTGTGTGCTGACCCACCTTGTGGCTCACAGCTGCTCCAGCTCTGATCAAGTACTTCACTGTCTCCAGATGGTTGTTCTCACAGGCCGCCATCAGCGGTGTTCTCTGCTCCTCATCAAACATGTCCAGGTTAGCACCGGCCTATGTGCACACACGCATACACACAGCGTCACAACACCACACTTTACTGTTGGACCACAACAATGACTGACAAGGCTTCTGAGCATGGCAGTGAGGATTTTTGTTACATGATATCTAACAGCTGACATGTAGCGCTGCCAGGTGTAGCTTTACAACATGCAACTTATTTCACTTGTTCCAAGGAACAAATGGTAAACTGGCACTTTTGTAAGTAAATATTCACATGAATATACATTTATGGAATTTCAATTGTGAAAACATATTTAGTTTCTTATGTTTGAAACTTAAAATCACAAATAAATGTTTTTAGGAGACACAAGGTTTGCAAGTTTTTACTTTCTTTACTTTTATCTTGATGTAGTACCTTTAAAACTGCTTTAATGGGGCACAGATTCCAAAAGAAGTAAGTCGGCGCTATAAATGTCTATACAGTTTAAATCAATTGTTAATTTGACTCAGCTGTGTGACCAAGGCTATCCAGTCAGCCCTATTCATCTCTTCTTTTTTTTATTGTATAAAACAGTGTTGTACCTTGTACAAGACTGCATTGATAATGCAAACCATCCGTGCAAATGTTGTGCACCTCACCACAGAGAATTGTGTGTGTGGCACAACAAATTTCCTTATTGTCACCCACTGTTAAGTAATGCGCCATTTCTATTATTTGCTACTATTTATAACTTTAACTAAAAATAATGAAATAAATAAAATACATGAAATGACAATTTGGAATTTAGTGTGTTTGTCGTCAGGACAACTGACTGTCAGCAGGAGAGAGTCATCACCAGACTGACCGACAGCAGAAATATACTGAACAAAAATAGTTACAACAAACTGTACAAAATGCAGACGACAGAGGACTGGGGGCAAAGTGAAACCAAAAAGCTCAGTTATACTGGGTGCTTTATCACTTATAACAGATATAAGTAAAAACTTTGCAACAGGGGATTTGTTTGATTCAAACTGCAGTCTGTGAATATTATTCTTCAGTAAGTGTGGCAGAGAGGGGAAAAATAGACCAGAAACAAGAAAGTGCAGGGGGTCCGGGGTGATGCATACTCAGAATCAGAGTAAACTGACACATTTAATACAATGGAGATCTATCTGCAGCATGAGAAGTGTGTAAAAAACTCACTCAGTGTGAACTGGGGGTTAGAATTTCATGGCAGTGAGGACTGATTTTCTACTAAGAAATACAGGCCCTGCGGTGCAACCTGCACTGAAGCCCAAGTGTTCTTACCTGGACCAGCATGTGGCAGATCTCATGGTGACCCTCAGCAGCTGCTGCATGAAGAGGGGTGCGTTTATTTTGGCCCTCCATTAAAAAGTTGGGGTCCTTCCCATCAACTGTAATGTACAAAGTTTTGTCCATAAGTGTGAGAATACAGATACTAAAAAACACACAAGTTATGGTGTAAATAAAATATCTGGGTTACCAAGGAGGCGAACGACCTTCTGGAGATCCCCTTGTTTTGCAGAGGTGTACAGCTGCCTGGTGGGGTACTTCACTTTTTTTGGTTTCAAGCTAAAAAGAACATATTATTTGTATTTAAGTGCAAACTCTGGTCCCAATGGCCCCTTTTTGCAAAGTGATGTCAAAGTATTTTAATGGTTAAGCTTACTTCTCATCATCCAGTGCCATCAGGATACTCTCTAGTGACTCTTTAGGTAATCTGTCTGCAGCACACACACCCTCACCCTTTAACCTGAAGAGAGAAAGCAAACAGTACAATTTTTATTTGACCCAAGTAGCAATTAGGTGTAATTATTCTATAATACAGCATTTGTGAAATTACCGATTCAAAGAAGAAGCAGTCTTTTCTATATCAGAAGATGACATGGCATACAGTAAAGCAGCATCAGACCTATATTACCTGCTCGGGCTCTCGTCTCTGCTCCTCTGTGGCTCGCTGGTCTTCTTAGCTCTGAGTATCTGTGGAACATCAGGCACAGTTGGTACTGACGGCAGGGTGGCCATAGTGGGCACAGCAGGGAGTGACAACCCAGGGTTGAATCTGGGTACAGAGGGTGACAGATCAGTCTTTAGCACCGTGACCTCCTTCGCCCCACTAGCATCTTCTCCACAGTGGGGGCAAAACCTGTGATCCTTCAAGATGGAGGCACAGTCACGGTGGAAGCGGTGGGAGATGCTACCGTATGGCCTACACTCCATGAAGGTGCCCTGTAGGAAAGACCAAAAAGGCACAGCATTAAGGTCAAGAAATGCAGTAATAAATATAACAAGTACTCCAACTGTTATTTCAAGTGATATTTTCAGAATCAGAATCAGCTTTATTGGCCATGTACAGTGGCTCTCAATGTGCATGTGTAATGTCCTTCCATAAGGCAGCGAGGAAACAAGAAAAAGTGCAAAAAACAAATGTGCACTTAGCAAAAAAGAAGACAAAAACTACTTGTAAATAAAAATAAAAATAAAAATACACACACACACACACACACACATATACACTGGCCACTTTATTAGGTACACCTGTACAATTGTATGCATTTCAATGCAACACTTCCGCCTTAACATCTGTTTATGAAGCTCAAAATGTTTGTTTTAGTGAAATGATCATAAATGTATACATTCAATTGGTGGTGGTGTACTGGACTACATTACATTACATGAGAGGGTCAGAATATTAGGAACACCTCTGAAACATTTTGAGCTTTATACACAGATGTTAAGGCAAAGATGTTGCACTGACTTACATACAATACCTAATAGAGAAGCAGGTGAGTGTGTGTGTGTGTGTACATATATACAGTATAAATACAACTATAAATACACAACTATGTCTCTTTGTGTTGCTTGCTTAGTGGTCAGGGGCCTTTGAGAACAGGGGTATTTATACATCATGTGACAGATCATGTGACACTGACTGCACATGGACCTGAATCAACTAATTATGTGATTTTGGAAGTTAACTGGCTGGACCAGATCTTATTTAGGGGTTTCATAGCAAAGAGAGTGAATATACAGTGGATTCACAAAGTATTCTGACCCTTTCAAGTTTTCCACATTTTGTTAGGTTTCAGACATAAAATTGATTAAATGCATTTTTTCCTCATCAATCTACACACAACACTCCACAATGACAAAGCAAAAACAGTTTTGGAATGCTTTGTAACTGTATTAAAAATAAAAGACTGAAACAACCCATTTACATAAGTATTCACTTAGTACTTGGCGAAAGCACCTTTGGCAGCACTGACAGACAGCCTCAAGTCTTCTCGGGGATGAGGCTACAAGCTTGATACTCCCAAGCATTTTGGAGAAAGTTTTCATTTATTGCTCTATATTTCTCTGCATCCATCCCTCCCTCTGTCCTGACTAGTCTCCTGGTCCCAGTCACAGAAAACCTCCCCACAGCCTGATGCTGCCCCACCGCTGTGTTTGACTGTAGGAATGGTATTAATGAAGGGATGCTTAGTGCCTGCTTTTCTCCACACACACTGTTGGGAATTGTGGCCAAATAGTTTAATCTTTGTTTCATCAGATCAGAGGATTTTGCTTCTCATGGTCTGAGAGTCCTTCAGGTGCCCTGTAGGGGGCTGTCCTGTTCCTTTTAATGAGGAATAGCTTCTGTCTGGCCGCTCTACCATAGATGGTGATTGGTAGACTGCTGCGCTGGTGGTTGTCCTTCTGTAAGGTTCTCCCATCTCCAGAAAGGAATTCGGGATGCCATTTATAGTGACCCTTAGGTTCTTGGTCTGACCAAGGTCCTTCGCCCCTGATTACTCAGTTTGGCTGAGCAGCCAGATCTTTGAAGACTATTCATTATCCAATAAATTATATTAGGCAAAGGCTGTAGAAGCATCTCAAGGACTCCTGATGGGACCAGGATACACCAGATTTCAAATGCAAGTATCAAAACAAAGGTTCTGAAAACTTATGTTAATGGAATATCTCAATCTTTTATTTTTAATACATTAACAGAACACTAAAAAAACTGTTTTCATTTTATCACAGTGGAGTACTGAGTGTTGAATTAATCTATTTCAAGATGAGTCTGAAATACACAAAAATGTAGAAACTTTGAAAGAGAGTCCTTCAGGTGCCCTGTAGGGGGCTGTCCTGTTCCTTTTAATGAGGAATAGCTTCTGTCTGGCCGCTCTACCATAGATGGTGATTGGTAGACTGCTGCGCTGGTGGTTGTCCTTCTGTAAGGTTCTCCCATCTCCAGAAAGGAATTCGGGATGCCATTTATAGTGACCCTTAGGTTCTTGGTCTGACCAAGGTCCTTCGCCCCTGATTACTCAGTTTGGCTGAGCAGCCAGATCTTTGAAGACTATTCATTATCCAATAAATTATATTAGGCAAAGGCTGTAGAAGCATCTCAAGGACTCCTGATGGGACCAGGATACACCAGATTTCAAATGCAAGTATCAAAACAAAGGTTCTGAAAACTTATGTTAATGGAATATCTCAATCTTTTATTTTTAATACATTAACAGAACACTAAAAAAACTGTTTTCATTTTATCACAGTGGAGTACTGAGTGTTGAATTAATCTATTTTAAGATGAGTCTGAAATACACAAAAATGTAGAAACTTTGAAAGGGTATGAAAACTTTCTGTATCCACTGTGGATATTTTTTTAAGGCAATGTATTTTAACTTTTATCATTATCAAATACTTTTAGCTGTTTTCACAGTTCATCCGTTCCCTTTACTCAGCTATTTAAACTGTTTACCCAATACTTTTGAACATTGTTGTGGATATATTCAGTATAAAAATATGTCAATCTGAATATGCCCAAATAATATTTCTAGTTTTTCAAATTAGTCCACCTACCCCCAGCACCTGCAATAGTACATCCTGGGATAAAAGTACCCCTGATTAGGTATCACTGCTTTAGGGGATAAAAGGAGGGTGGGGACTGAAGATAAAGAGAAGCAAGAGGAAGAGGAACAAGAAAAGGGAGATGAGAGAGAAAAAGACACGGAAATAGATTTAAGGAAGTAGCAGGTTTTAGTAGTAATAATAGCAGGAACAAGGACTAAGGGAGAACAAGACAATGACAGTGATGTACAGTAAAAGACACTGAGGGCAGAAGAAAAAAGAAGAGGAAGTACAGGATGACATTATGACATCATAACATATATGTTTGATATACTGTGTATTTATAATATATAATATTCATCCATGACTGTGTGAAATCTGACCAAAATGTTTTACCGTGTGCAAAATCTTCCCAGACATACTGTAACCAATGCAATCTTGTTAAATTGTTCTGTAAATCTATAATCTATTTAACCTACAGTATAAGGTATAAGTGTAAGGGCAGGCATTGATGTATGTACACAATCAGTATGCTTTGTGTCGCCTCACCACCCTGCAGAAGAGTCCACAGCCAGGGCAGCACTGGTGCTTGACCATGCCAGCCCGGTGGTCCTCACACAAAACCAGTAAATGAACCGTGTTGGAGGGTCGCATCATTTCCTGTTTCATCGCTCGCCTCTGGCAACGACTCAGCTGGGAAGTAAAAAAAAAAAAAAATCAAGGACACATTCACAAAATTAATTTACTATACTTTTATATAACATTAAAACCAAAATGGCTCCAATGTCAGACTCCTAATACCTTTAATCAGCAAAATATTCCTTTTTTCCTAATTATATGCTATAAATATTGTTTTCCATGCAGAGCAGTTCTCACGTTTTAAGTAGAAATGCACCTTTAGTTCCTGGTAATTCTAGATTGCCCCCTGTGACGTATTGTTTATATGCTTAGGGTCATTTGGTTCACATCACCAGGCTGAAATAAATATAACACTATTTAGTTTTAGTCCACTCTGTTTTGTGTTCCCCTTGATTTATTACAAGAGGAGTAAACACAAAGACATATGGACTGACAGTTAACTCACTGACTTAATTTCCGAAACTATCCTACTTAATCAGTGCTACATATTCCAAAGGTTCACAGCAAGTCCAACTTCAGGTATGAGGGCACCCTAGGATCTAAGCAATTCTATGACCCTTTTTGTGTCTCTGGTGACGACCAGTAGAAACTGCAGTAACATTGTCCTCTGGTTCCATGACTCTCTGGGACTTGATGCCTATAACAAAGTGACATAGTGTTTTTATTAATTGATGATCTTTACCACTCCATCGATGCTCTCCATGGCCATGCAGGTCTGATCCAATGCAGAAACGCTGCCTCCAATATGAGGAGTCTCCATACGGCAGCAGCATAGAGGTAACTCCTCAGCCATGTCTGTTTCTGTCACCTTAATACTTTCGCAAGGCACTGTACACGTGCAACTTTTTAGTTTTTTTTTTGTTTTTTACACAGTATTTTTATATTCCACAACAACTTGGACTATTTTGTTAGGTCCATTACAAAGATCCAAATAAAAATCCATTTAAAATCCAGCATGCAATGCAACAAAACAAGAAACACAACAAGAAGGGTGGATATTTTTTTAAGGCAATGTATTTTAACTTTTATCATTATCAAATAGCTGTTTTCACAGTTCATCCGTTCCCTTTACTCAGCTATTTAAACTGTTTACCCAATACTTTTGAACATTGTTGTGGATATATTCAGTATAAAAATATGTCAATCTGAATATGCCCAAATAATATTTCTAGTTTTTCAAATTAGTCCACCTACCCCCAGCACCTGCAATAGTACATCCTGGGATAAAAGTACCCCTGATTAAGGTATCACTGCTTTAGGGGATAAAAGGAGGGTGGGGACTGAAGATAAAGAGAAGCAAGAGGAAGAGGAACAAGAAAAGGGAGATGAGAGAGAAAAAGACACGGAAATAGATTTAAGGAAGTAGCAGGTTTTAGTAGTAATAATAGCAGGAACAAGGACTAAGGGAGAACAAGACAATGACAGTGATGTACAGTAAAAGACACTGAGGGCAGAAGAAAAAAGAAGAGGAAGTACAGGATGACATTATGACATCATAACATATATGTTTGATATACTGTGTATTTATAATATATAATATTCATCCATGACTGTGTGAAATCTGACCAAAATGTTTTACTGTGTGCAAAATCTTCCCAGACATACTGTAACCAATGCAATCTTGTTAAATTGTTCTGTAAATCTATAATCTATTTAACCTACAGTATAAGGTATAAGTGTAAGGGCAGGCATTGATGTATGTACACAATCAGTATGCTTTGTGTCGCCTCACCACCCTGCAGAAGAGTCCACAGCCAGGGCAGCACTGGTGCTTGACCATGCCAGCCCGGTGGTCCTCACACAAAACCAGTAAATGAACCGTGTTGGAGGGTCGCATCATTTCCTGTTTCATCGCTCGCCTCTGGCAACGACTCAGCTGGGAAGTAAAAAAAAAAAAAAATCAAGGACACATTCACAAAATTAATTTACTATACTTTTATATAACATTAAAACCAAAATGGCTCCAATGTCAGACTCCTAATACCTTTAATCAGCAAAATATTCCTTTTTTCCTAATTATATGCTATAAATATTGTTTTCCATGCAGAGCAGTTCTCACGTTTTAAGTAGAAATGCACCTTTAGTTCCTGGTAATTCTAGATTGCCCCCTGTGACGTATTGTTTATATGCTTAGGGTCATTTGGTTCACATCACCAGGCTGAAATAAATATAACACTATTTAGTTTTAGTCCACTCTGTTTTGTGTTCCCCTTGATTTATTACAAGAGGAGTAAACACAAAGACATATGGACTGACAGTTAACTCACTGACTTAATTTCCGAAACTATCCTACTTAATCAGTGCTACATATTCCAAAGGTTCACAGCAAGTCCAACTTCAGGTATGAGGGCACCCTAGGATCTAAGCAATTCTATGACCCTTTTTGTGTCTCTGGTGACGACCAGTAGAAACTGCAGTAACATTGTCCTCTGGTTCCATGACTCTCTGGGACTTGATGCCTATAACAAAGTGACATAGTGTTTTTATTAATTGATGATCTTTACCACTCCATCGATGCTCTCCATGGCCATGCAGGTCTGATCCAATGCAGAAACGCTGCCTCCAATATGAGGAGTCTCCATACGGCAGCAGCATAGAGGTAACTCCTCCGCACCTCGGCATTAACTGCTACACCTGCACACACACATCCTGTTATTTCAAACCAAGGATCTAACCTGTAAAACTTGCAGAAGAAAAAGAGGGACATAATGAATTTAGGTGACAGTAGATAAACCTCATGAAGCTAAATCAGTCACTGAGATACTGTAGTTACCTAACAGGGGAGTGGAAAGTAAGTCTGCCTGAGCTTTCAGGTCCAGACTATCCAAAGTCAACACTGTGTATTCAGCATGGGCACCTTCTCCTAGTGCTACTTCTGTCAGCAGCTCATTTCTGACAGCCGTCTGTTCCCCAGGCTGCAAAGTGTCTGGTAGAGTCACAGCTTTCCCATCTGCTGCAGCTTGGTGCTTCTCCACACTGACTCCTGGCTCCTCTTTCTGGTTGGATAAAAGGAATGACATTTCTATGTATCCGTATACATCCCCATACAAACTTTGGATAACAATGTAAATTTATCAATCAACTGGGTAAAATGAATGATTTACAATTCTTTTCCTTTCAAAATGGCCTGTAATAATTTCTCATACCATATATTGAAGTGACTGTTACAAATAAATCCAGATAATCTCCTAGGACTGAGAAAATTAATGGTAAATGAACTTGTATAGCGCTCTTCTATGTGCTGAAGCACACTCAAAGCACTTTAACACTATTTACCTATTCACCCAATTCACTCACACAAGCATTCACACACTGGTGATATCACCAAAAGCAACTTGTGGTCCAGTGTCTTGCCCAAGGACACTTCAACATGTGGACTGGAGTAGCCAGAGATTGAACCTCTAACCCCACAGTTACAAACACCTCTATCTCCTGAGCCACAGCCACACAAAAACCAATGCTAAACATTAAACATATTGGGTATGTCTCATGTCTCTTATAAGGACCATTGTTTCCCTCATTTGCATCTTTTTGTAGGGCCCACAAATCCAAAGTAGACGTTTTGAAGAGATGTTTTATTCTGAGGAACTCAGAATATTCAGAATAATAACTAACTTTGAAATGGTCTTAGATTTGAGAATGTGAAATTGTTAACCAAAAGTTATGTAAAATTTCTAGTTACAAATATTAAATAAAGCTGATAAATGATTTCTGAACTTGTTTCCATGAGGTTTAACTTAAATTTTCCTGCTGTATTTAAGATGTCTGAAGACTCAGTCATCACAAAAGACTACTCCCAGGTTAACCTCAACACTCTTAACTCAGAGCATTGCTCCAAACACTAGTTTAGAACATTTTATTGCTTTTTATTCTCACTTTAACCGTGTACTTAACAAATGCTCGCTTATGTTCTTGTTATTTCTCTCCACAGAATACAACGTGTTTGTCCAGTGTGAAATTATGTTGCTTAGCTTTTGTGTCTAAATAGGAGTTACTCCACATTCCATGTGTATTTCAAATATAAGCTATGATGGAGGTGTGAGCATTTCCACAGTGCGCTTCTGAAGTACCAATCAGGAACCCATTGTCATGACAATGGAGTTCCAGCCAGCCAGAGGATACCAACCAGCAGACTCCCGACCAATCAGGCAAAGATAAGTGCCCGAGCCAGCACATGATTACTTGAGTTACCACTTCCCTGAACAGAGAAAGCCCCTTACAAAGGCACAAAGCCAGAATGGTGCATTTTTGTTTTGCCTCTGGTACCACCTCCCAAGGTGGTACCAGAGGCAAAAGGGGAGATGTGCTCTGTGTATAAAGGGTGGCCAGCAGTCCTGGAACCAAGTGCTATGTTCTGATGATGTAAGATGTGTGGGACACTATCACCAGTGTCTCAAGTCTGCACGCCTCTCTGTCTCAAACTGTTGTCAGCTTTTCTCTAACTTACAGCCCAAAACATTCCTGATGTCATGAACGCATTGATTGCAGTTATTACTCATGACATTAGCACACATAGCAAGAAACACACTAATCAAGTGAAATAAATGCTTGAAGAGCCAACAAAGCTACATCTGCACTTATCTCTCCTGCCATTGTTGTTTTGGCTCGTAGACTAGCAGCGCAAAATGTACAGTACATCACAGTTGATGCGGAGCGATGTTGCATCTTGCCTCTGGAGCAGAATGCCAGCCTGCTGTCTGAATTTACAGGCTGGATCACGATTATACTGTCCTTAGCCTGATCTGTATGAACAGCACAAGGGCGGAATATTGGCGACCATTTGGAATGGCAGTAGTGTGGGATCTCAGTGTAAAAACAACTTCAGAATGAAAGAAGTTGAGCATCCAAAGTGTGCATTTTGTCTGTCTCTCATCTGCTTGTTTCATGTTTTGTCCAAAATTCCCTTTTCTAAATCTTATGCTCACATAGCCACAAAATACGCCATGAAACCGTAGCCTCACTTAAAGTCTTTGATCTATAGAAACTGAGTATTTTTCTCTCCAGATTCGTGACTAAAGCCCAGAATTTAGATCCAAAATCTGCCATAGATTAAACAATTCTAACTCATTCTTCCACTATCCACTATTACAATAGACCAGTAATTCCACCAGTCATCCACTGATCCCACTTTTGTTACAAATGTACCATTTTTTTGCATTTTTCATCCTGATCATTTTCCCTTATGTACATATTGTATAAATAAATTCATTAGGTTGTCAATGGCTTTATTATGTCATCTTTTCTCTTTTATTTACAGATACATGGGTCAATGTCCTAAGAACTCCAAAATTACGAATGAGACTGAATCAATTACTCTGATTAAGCAAATTCATTAAAGGTGTGATAGAACTATATGTATCTGGTCCCCTGATTATATTGGGGTATGATTACAAATTTTAGTACTTAAAGTGTAGTCATTTCTGCTAGTCTTTTCCTTGTGTCTTAGTCCCGCCAAGGATATGATAGATAGATGTGAGGAAAACATAAGGAGAAAGGACTAGAGGAAACATGTTATTAATGACATGAGATGTTAATAAAAACACATCAAAATCAAAAGGGGCAGGGGGTTTTACCTTTTAACACTTGCACACTTATTCATTCCTTCATGATGGAACAAAGGGCCCTCTTTTCACTACAGACTGTAGCCTAGCATGATTACTTATAAAACAACTGCTTTGCTCACTGTCCTCAACAGCCCCAAGCAGTTAATAAGTCAAATTTTAGTAACAGCTTTGTAGTTGGCAATAAAACTGGAAGCAGATAACATTATGCACTAAGGCAGGGGGCAGAATTATGAACACTGC